AGGGAGAAAGAGGAGGAATAGCAGGAGGAGGAGGAGGAGGAGGAGGAGGAGAAGGAGGAGGAGGAGGAGTAGGAGGAGGAGGAGGAGGAAGAGATGGAGGAAGAGGAGGAGGTGGAGGAGGAGGAGGAGCAGGAGGAGCAGGAAGAGCAGGAGGAGGAGAGGATGAGGAGGATGAGGATGAAGAGGAGGAGGGGCTCAGTTCTCCTCGCGATGTGTCCAGACCAAGAGCGTGAGGTTGCCGTGCCCCGGGGCCGTCAGGAGTTGAATCGGGATCGCCTCCTCCTATTCTCGGCGCGAATGCCATGGGTACGGACACAGTGGTTATGAAGACCGACAACAGTTCCTGTTCATTTTGAACAGGACTCGCTGTCGGTGTCTCTGCGGACGGTTTCCATTTGAGACAGAGGGCCGCCTGCCCAACAGCGGCCGCTGTCGTTTTTGGACAACATTTGCTGTTGGGCATCGTATTTGCGCCAGATATTCAATATTGGGAAGGCCTTACAGCCGGTGCCGCCGATCCTGAAGGGGGACGACGACCACGACGGCGGCGTCGGCGGCGACTACGACGCTGACGTGGGGCAGAGTCTTCATGGATTTTTCTTGGGGCCTCTTCGGAGCGCGCACGTAGGCCTCTGGGGGCAGTTTTGGGGCCTCTTGGGAGCCTCTTGGGGGTCGGTCCACTCGGGCTTCTAGGGGCCTCTTGGGGGCCTCTTAGGGCCTCCTGTGGGCTTCTCGGGGCCGAAGGCTCGAAATGTTCTTTCGGGCTCCTGTGTGGGCACCTTCTAGGAGCTGTTTTGGCCTCTTGGGCCGCCTGGGGCCGTTTTGGGGCCCTCCTGGGTTGTGGGGCCGTCATGGGAACCTCTTGGGTGCTTCTTGTGCCGATCTTGGTGGCATCTTGGACCGCCGTGGGGCGTCAGGAAACCGAAAAGAGAACGCCATAATCTTTCGTCAACAACCTGTAGAAATGGTTGAACTTTGCCTGTTGAGGCTCTCTTGGTGTTTTCTTGGAGGCCCGAGCGTCTTGGCAGCCGCTTGGGCTGTCATGAGGCCGTCCTTGGCGTCTTGGACCGATGGTTTAGGAGAGCCCATTGAAAGGGGGGGAGCGGCGACGGGCCCAGGGGAAGCAGGGTCAAACGCGACGGCGGTCCACGTATTCAATATATATATATACATATATATATATTCACTATACGTCTTTGATTTCTTTCTTTCTTTCTTTCTTTCTCTCTCTCTCTCTCTCTGCTAGGACGGCGCTGCATCGCCAATAGCAGACCAACTACACCTGGTAATGAGCTGTTTTCCTTACCCCAAGGGGAGCCCATCGACTTCGACACCCCTCTCGAGCATCGTCGATGCGGTGGGGTCCCCCACGCGGGTGAGGAACACAGCTTCCTCCGTTGTGGTTGGTCGGCGAAGCTCCTTGGAACGCATGTCCAGCGAGGTCCCTGGTCGAAGTGATCAGGGCAAGACGGCTGTGAGTCCCTCGCAGCGACATGGCGGTACCGGGAAGCTGGATACATGGCGCGGCCAGCCTTGGCGAGAGCTGGATGCGAATGCGGGCAGATGTCTCTCCAGCTACGGCGGGGCAAACTGGGCTTCCACGTGTGCATCCAGCGCGCGGCCCCAGGATGTTCACGTGGATCCAGCCCTGCCTGTTTCAGCTTCCTTGTTGCCCTCAGCTGTGACCGAGATTGACATGCGGTTGGCCTCCAACAGGGACTGCCTGCCACACTCGGGCGCATTGGGGCCCGGGGCTCGGCCACCCTCGCGCACATCCCCGGGCCCGCTTCCGGCCACGCGCCCCGCCGAGGGGGGCGAGGCTGCGCGAGCTTCGAGGCGAAGGGCGTCTGCTGGCAGAGGCATCAAACTCTTGAGCTCTAGGCCTCCTGCACGGGGTGCGAGTAGGTGGGGTCGGAGAATCGAGCCGCCTCGACGATGCATCGGCGATGCGGCTCGCTGTGGAGCCCGATTTTGTCCACGCCGACGTACATCGGCGATGCATTGGCGATGCGGCGCGATCCTTCGACCCCATCTACTGGGACCCCATCTAGGACCTAGGAGGCCTCTATGAGCGCTCTCTCTCTCTCTCTCTCTTTCTCCCCCTCTCTCTCGAGCCGGGCGTGCGGCGCGGCGGCCAGCCCGCAGGTGGCGTGCAGCGGACGCGGGGAGGACCGCCTGCTGCTGGGCGCCGGCTCACGGGGGGCGCTTCTGGCATGCACCGGCACCGGTCCTGGCCAGGCCCGTCCCGTGGCCCATTGGGGGTGGCCAAGAGGGGGGTAGCGATTAGAGGTGGTGTGGATATCGCGGCCGGCGCCATGATATCACCCTGGATTTCATGGCCCCCTCGTCTTCTTCTTCTTCTTCTTCTTCTTCGTCTTCTTCTTCTTCTTCATCTTCTTCAACGCGTCCCCTCGTGTGTAGGCCTCCCAGATGGGATCAGAGCAGATGGGGTCGGAGGATCGCGCCGATGCGTCTCGATGTGGCGCGATCATGGCCCAAGGCGCATCGAGACGCATCGGCGATGCATCGGTGATGTGGCGCGCGATCCTGTGATCCCATCTACTCGGACCCCATCTTGGCGGCCTCTATGGTTCCCGCCTTGTCCGCGCTCGTGACTCGGGCCATGATCTGCAAAGCGTCCTCTTGGACGCCCCCTCCTGGTCGCCCCCAGGCCCAGGGGATGGGGCGTACACCTGGAGCTCGCAGAAGCACCACCTGCATAAACATATAATGGGGGGCCATGACAAGAAACACCATACGTCCTGCCGGGGTGCCCTGGGAGTGAAGGGATCGGTTTTGAACGTATTGGGGCGAAGCCCTGTGGGGCCGCCCGCGCGGGCAAGAAGAGAATCGTGCTTCGCGCCCTGCGGCCGACGGCATGTCCGTTTCATTCCGGTTTTATAATGTCTTAGCGTGCGCCAGCATCTGGTAATCTAGCGTCGATTCGTGTCGGTTGGCGTCGGTTCTCAGGAGCCAGCAAGGTGGCGTGGGAGGCCCCCGTGGGTCGCCACCAAACGGGGGAGCCTCGCGAGAGGGCGCGAAGAGGAGTCGCGCCTCGCGCGGCGCGTGGGCGCGACGTGGGGCTACCTGGTACAGGCCTTCGGGCGAGGCCGGTCGGGGGGGCGCCTCTGCCGATGTCACGAGGGCCCACGCCTGGAGACCGCGGTTTGATCCCCCGGCGATGACGGGCGTGACTACCTGGGGGAGGGGGGTGGGGGGCCCGCGCTGAGGCCCGACTGGGCAGTCTGGGGGGGGGGAGGCGTCCCGAGGGGGGGAAAGGGCGGGAGCGGAAGATGGAGTTGAGGCAGGAAGAAAGAGGACAGTTTTGTGGTCCCTTTCGTTGCTTGTTGTTGTTGTGTGTCCCCTGTTTGAGGACAGGTCTGGCCCGCTAGCAGGGGCGGCCGAGGGGAGGAGCGAAGGTGAGGAGGACAGGAGAGTTTTTTTTCACATGGCGATCACGGGCGTGACCCGGGGGGGGGAAGGGGGGAGGGGCCCAGTCACGTCACGATCCGCGCTGGCGCCGTCTGGGTATAACTAGGAATGACCAAGAGGGGGGTGATGACTAGGGGGGCGTCCAAGAGGAGGGCGTTCAAGAGGGGAGTGGGTATCATGGCCAGGGCCATGGTATCTTCCTAGATCTCATGGCCCCTCTCCTTATCTCGATACGTCCTCTGGTCCCCCCTGCCGCGCCCATGCCTCGGGCCATGATTTGCCAACCCCCCTCTTGGCCGCCCCCCTCTTGGCCGCCCCCGAGGGGAGGGGAGGGGGGCCGGTTGCGCCACGAGTCGCGCGGACGCCGTCTAGGAGTGATGAGGCATGGCTCGTTGTCACGCGGCGCATGGGCGAAGCGTGACGTGACCACGGGGGGCTGGGAGGGAGGCGCCAAGGTCGGCCGCGGGCGTTGTCGCGAGCAATACAAATAACGACGGGCTCCCATCCGTTCGAAGCCGGCCCCACAAGCCGCCTCGGCGTGGTGGCGCCTCCGGGCCCCGAGTTTTGAGGCTCCCGCCGACACTGACGTGAAGTCGGGCATGTCCCTCTACAGGAGGAGCATTCGAAATTAGTCAAATCTGGGGTCGGTTTTCCTACTGTTTTGACAACTCGTGAGTCTTTTTGTTTGGGTATTTTCTATTTTTCCTGCAAATCAGCCTGTAAGAGGACATGCCCGAGCTAAAACTGACGCCTCACACATTTGTCTTCGGACCCCGCGGGCCACGTGGCGCGTGTCGCGCAGAGCACCGACGTTTGCGGAGGCGAGGGTTAGATCGGGAAGGTCCTTCCTCCCACAGGCAGATTTTGGAAGGAAGACACAAACGAGCCAAATCACATTCAACAATTTTCAAAGATGGTCAAAATACCGTCTCCATAATATCATGTGTGTGTGTGTGTCTGTGTGTGTGCGTGGCTATTTTGGAATTTCCCCCCTGTAGAGGGACAGGCCGGACTTACGGCGCGGGGGGTCGGACAACAAATCCTGCTGGATTTCGCGGGGGGCTGCAGGACCCCTTCCGGGGTCTGCCGGGGCCGGCTTTTGTCGAGCTGCGCCCAGCCGTGGCCACGAGCCACCGCCCACCAAGCCACCCCAACCCAGCCCGAAGGCCCCTGACTTGTCCTCCATTTCCAGTGTGTGGGGGGTGTTTGGGGAAGGAACGAATGAATGGTGGTCGTTTTTTTATTCATTGTTTTGCCGATCGGCGCGGGCCCTCGCATCCCCTCCCCTTCCCCCCCGCCATGGAGTTAGATCTTGGCTGTTTTTGGCGCCTGTTTCGAGCAGGTGGAGTCCCTTCCGCATCGGACGCATTGTTGCAAACAGTTGCAGCGAGCAGAGGTCCAGAGCCAGACCCCCCCTCTCCCCCCCTTTCGCCCAGATGTTAAAACGCCGAGTAAGAAAACGCTCACATGCGGCCGCGTGTCCGTAGGCACATGAGAAATGGCACGAGCGTGCGCTAGACGGTACGCTTGCGCACAGCTGCTTTCCAGGCTTCCGCCGGAAACGTGCCCGAATGTGAAAAGCTCCAACCACAACTGCGACAAGCTATGACACGAAACATATGGAAAAACACATAGAAGCCTGTATCCCCTCCAACTGGAAATTCGGGTCTTCGGGTGGGGTTGGGGTGGTCTGGTATGTCGAGTCAACGGAATCCCCGCAGGGGGGCCTTCGAGAGAGCCCCGCTCGCGGTTTGTGGGCCCCCGTGTCCCGGGCCTCCGACGTCGCGCCTGGCGTGCTCACGGCGTAGAGCCCGCGAGGTCTGGACTCTGACCCAGGACTGCTCCTTGCAAGCGGCGCGCCGAGGGGGGGGGGGGGCAGGCCTTCTCAGAGGGCGGAGGGGCGGAAGCCCTCGGTCCTTGTGAGAGGCCGCCCGTGCCTTCGGAGAAGGCTCAGCAGGACGAGCGAACAGCGCACACCCATACCCATCGGGGGGGGCGGAGGGTGCCATGGGTGCGCGTTGTTGGATGGGAGCCCCCGCCCGAACGCGAACCTCCCCCGCGGTCCGACCGCACCCACACCCATCGACAGTCCTCCTTCCTCCGATCCCCCATTTGTTTGTTTGTTTGTTTGTTTGTTTGTTTGTTTGTTTGTGTGTGTGTGTGTGTGTGTGTGTGTTTGTTTGTGTGTTTGTTTGTTTGTTTGTTTGTTTGTTTGTTTGTGCGTGTGTGTGTGTGTGTGTGTGTGTGTGTGTGTGTCTGTGTCTGTGTGTGTGCTACAGAGGAGCAGAGCAAGACGTCATGATAATGATACGTTCCAAGATTTCCAGGGTTCCCGATATTCCCGAAGGTCCCATACGGGCTGCAGAAACGCGGTCCGGCTAGATACCCTGGAAACCCTGAAACGCATCCGAATCCAATCCTATCATGACATAATTCTCGTCCCAATGCTGATCGTTCGTCGCAGAGGGCTTCCCAAGAGGCCCAGAGGCCTCCTGCGCCTTCGGCGGAGGCCCGCGCGTTCTGCCTTCGGCCACGCGTCAGAGTGACCTTTCGCTGGGGTGACCTCTGCTGCGGGCCCACGGGGGTCGCCCCAGCACCGACCCAGGCGCTCGGCTCTGGGCCCCTCGTGGCCCCCTTGGCAGCCACGCACCAGGGGTTGCTCTCGCCTGGGGTCGCTCTTGCGTGTGCGCCGATGCTTTCCCCCTGAGCGCGCCGCCTCGGTCCCGAGTCGGTTTCTGACGGTCCCCGGCCGCTTGGGGCGTAGGACCGGCCTGGCCGGGATTGGTGCGTGCAGCCCGCTGTAGTGGACGGCTCGACTTGCAACAGCTGCAGCAGCTGCAAGGCAAGGTGGTCAACCCACCTGCAAGGCGCCTGCAATTGAGCGACGCAAAAAAACGGGGTCGTCTTCGACGACATTGGCGCGTTAGTTGCCCGCGTAAGGTCGCGCGTAAACCCCCTCGATTCCAGCGTAGCGTGCCGCGCTGGCGGCCCGCGTAAGCCACCGCGTCAGGTCGCGATGCCATCTCGCAGAAGACCCGGTTTTTGGGGGCGCAAGTCGCGGGCCCAACCTGGAGCAACCAGGCGGACTTGCAACCCGCTTGCGAGCGCCTTGCAAGTGGGCTGCGACCACCTTGCTGCTGTTGCTCACCACCCACCAAACCACCCAAACCCAACCCGAAGTACCCAATTTGCCATGTATTCCCAGTGTGTGTGGGGGGTCGGGGAACATTGGAACCACACCTATGGAACCCGTACCCCCCCAAACCCGAAACTTGCGTTTTCGGGTTGGGTTGGGGTTGTCTGGTAGGTAGTCAGTTGCAGGTCACAGCGGTCACTGCAGCAGCGGCGTCCCCGCCCCAGGCTTCCGCGCCGTAGTGGAGGCGCTGGCCTCCGGTCTGGAGGTGCTGCGCGGCGACCCGGCCACGCTGGTGCAGCAGGGGCCGCAGGAGCCGAGGAGGCTTCCCGAGGCTTGTGGCTCTGTTCTTCACCACCCACCAAGCCACCTCCCTGCGCAATTTGCCCTACATTCCCAGCGGGTGGGTGGGGGGGGCGTCGGGGAATATTGAAAAAAACATGTGGAATCCGTACTCCCCCCCTAATCTGAAATTTGAGTCTTCGGGTTAGGGTGGTCTGGTAGGTAGTGAGTTTTCCGAGGAGTCCGATCTTCTTGCGTCGTTCAGGGGCAGCGAGGTTCGGGTTTCGGGCGAAGGTCAGGGCTTTCAGGCGTTTTCGTCGGTCCTCGGCAGTTTTCCAGCCTCGGGGTGAACTCCAGCAGCTGTTCCTCGCTGAGCGTTCCAAGGGGGCCTGTATCGTCCCGAACGGGCGCCGGAGAGCCGAGTCATGGCCCGAAAACTAAGGGGTAACGTCTGGAGGGGATAGGCTCAAGGAGGGATGCATCGACCCCCCATCGACTGTGGATCGCCGATAATTAGTGGCACGACAGCCCACCCCGTCGAGGAAAGTGCGGTTTCGCTGTCGGGGCCCTTTCGCCGATCTATCGGTGCTGCATCGCCGATTTCAGGTCGATGCGTCCCCCTCTGTGCCCGTCCCCCGCTATATCGTTGCCCATCAGTCGCGATTCGGAGGCGTTCCGATGATTTGGTTGGTTCGTCGAGGTTTTCCCGCCTCGGGGCGCTTTCCAGCGGCTGCGCCTCGCCGAGAGCGTTCCAGGGGGTGCCCAGATCGTCCCGAACGGCCGCCGGAGGCCCGAGTAATTGTTTCGAACGCGAGGCCTCCTCGCGCAGTTTACCACTGCGACGGAAGGCTTTTGCTGCTTCTCGGCTTCTGCGGGGCCCTCCCTGGGCCTCGGGGCCGTCACAGCATGATTCGGGATGAGAAGCCGGTCGCTTGGAGAGGGGCCCGATTTTTGAGGGCCCGCGTCGTGAAACAGTTGCGACGTCGGAGGTCTTTTGTGAGCCGAAGCAAATAGGGCGTCGAGATCTATAGATATACTTTGCTCCTGGCCCAGGACGGGCCTGGCCAGGAGTCCTCCTCCTCCTCCTCCTCTTCCTCCTCCTCCTCGCAGTGGATATGTATAGTGCTCGTCGCCCTGGCAAAGTTCACTCTCTGAGGTCTGCACGGGTGTCTTGTGCCGGCGAGGGATCCCCCCTTGCGGCTTTCGCGCATCAGGGGATGATTGGAGGCCCGGCGCCGACCCTCGGCAGCGCTGAACCGATCCCTATCCTTAGGTCGGGAATGTCCTCCTACAGGCGGATTTTGGACGAATAACCACAAGTAGTGAAAACAAGTAGCAACATCGTCCCAGTATTATCTTTTTCAATTCTGGAGTTTTCCTCCTGCACAGGGAGGATACTAACTGCCCCTCGAAACCCGAAGGGAACAGCCTTGGTCCCCAGCCAGGGGGGTAAATCGGCCAGGGGGGGCCTAGGCCACGCCAGTGGGGATACTTTTGGGATCGGCCAAGCCATGCTCAGACCCAAGGGGAAGCCAGCTCCACCCCCCTTCTGCGGGGCCGTTTGGCCCGGGTCCGTGCGGAGGCGCTGGGGCCCGGACCTTCTGGGCGTCGTGCCTCCTCGCGACGTTGGCCCCCCTTGGAGGTCTGGGCCAATTTGCGTCCGGGCCCGTGTTTCCCTGGGAGCCCCCACGCCAGGTGGTGAGCTATCTGGTGGTGAGCTGGAATCCCCCAAGAGTCCCCGCCGAATTTTGGAACACGGGGTCGCCACTGGGTTTTGTGTGCCTCCTGGACCCACCAGTGTTCGGGACATCCTCGAAAAACCACACGAGTCCCCAAACCGGGTGGTGACACCAAATCGCCCGAGACTTTCCGCAGGGTGTTGTCACCACCAAGTTTGGGGACTACCAATTTCCGCCCCGAGCTGCTTTTGGACGGTCTGAGGGGCGGTCTCCAGCCCTTTATCGTTGTGGCCGCGCGAGCAGGGAGGTTGAGGGACGCATTTTGGTGGATGGTCTCTCAGGTTCTCCGCCGCGTCTGGCGGTGTGTGCTGCGAGCAGGAACGCAGCAGAGACGTGGAAAGCGTGGCATTTGCAGTGTAGCTCCGCACACGTGACACATGTTAACGATCAGAACACATCAAAGCCCCAGGAGAGAGGGGCAATAACAATGAAGCTCAACATTGACACGGTGTTGGTCGGGTCACGAAAGGCGGCGGCGCCCAATTGGGCCCCAAGTGGCTTCCAAGAGGGCCCCACGAGGCTCCAAGGAACGCCCCAAGACGACCAAAGCCATCCAAGACGCTCCAAAAGGCCCAGAAGGGCCTGAGGACGTCCCACTAGGGCCCCAAGAGGGCCCAACAGGGCCCCAACAGGACACCCAAAAAGGCCTGGATACGCCAAGCTCGCATCAGAGCGAGCGGTGACGTAAACAACTCTTAACACCAGGGCTCCCCAGAGCGAGCGGTGACGTACAAAGCTCTGAGCAACAACGCTCCCAAGAGCTCATAGCGGCGTGACAAGCTCTGAGCACCAAGGCTCCCAAGAGCTCATAGTGACGGTCTAAGCTCTGCACACCAAGGCTCCCAAGAGCGAGCGGTGACGTAAACAGGTCTTAACACCAAGGCTCCCAAGAGCCCATAGTGACGTAAAATGCTCTGAACACGAAGGCTTAGACGAACGAACGGTGACGAAAAAGGCCCTGACCACCAATATTCCCAAGGACTCACAATGACGTGACAAACTCTTCACACCAAAACAGGGTTCGCAAGATTGAGCGGTAACCTAAGAAGCCCTTAACACGAAGGCTCCCAACAGCGAGCAGTGATGAAACGAGCTCTTAACATCAAGGCTCCCAAGAGCGAACGGTGCAATGAGCCATCTCGGACAAGTTGCTGAAGCGCTTGTGGCTCTCTTGGGAGTCTACGGGCCTTCGGGGCCCCTCTTGGGACGCTCTTAGGCCGTCTTTGAGCCGTCTTGGACCTCTCTTGGGTGTATCTTAGGGTATCGGAGGCCGTCTTGGGCGCATCTGGGCCGTCTCGGGCCAGGCTCGCGTACTAACACCGGTTTGCGCCCCGTTCGCCCCACCCCTGGACCCCTCTCCAGAAGGCTTCGCCCCAACTCAACGTCATCCCGCGTACCTCCCTCTTTCCGTCACCTGGGCCGGCACGGGAACGGAAAGAGTGGTTCCCAAGAGGGCTCCCGGAGGCCCCAAGGAAAGCCACAAGACGGCCAAAGCCCTCCAAGACGCTCCAGGATTGCCCAAGAGGGCCCCAGGACGGCACAAGAGGGTCCCAAGAGTGCCCAACAGGGCCCCAGTGGGACCCCTAAGGAGCCAAACACATTGATTTTCTAAATGATTGAAGGTTGTTTGGATTCGCGCCTCTTCGGGCTTCCGACGGCCCAGGACGGCCCAAGAGGCCCCCAAGTCCCTAGGTGGCCCACGAGGCTCCCAAGAGGGCCCCAAAGCGCCCCAAGAGGGCTCCCAGACGGCCCCTGAGGGCCCCAGGACGGCCCAAGAGGGCCCCCATATGCTCCCCAGAGAACCCCAAGCGGGTCCCAAGTGGCTCCCAAGAGGGCCCCAGGAGGCCCCAAGGAAAGCCACAAGACGGCCAAAGCCCTCCAAGACGCCCCAAGATGGCCCATAAGGGCCCCAGGACGGCTCAAAAGGGCTCCAGGATGTCCCAAGAGGGCCCGAAGAGGGCCCAACAGGGCCCCAACAGGACCCTGAGGAGGCCAAGCACACTGATTTTCTTTACGTGTTTGAAGGTTTTGTTGGATTCTCGCCTCTTCGGTCTTCCGACGGCCCAGGACGGCCCAAGTGGCCCCCAAAATCGTTCCGATATGGCTCAACACATGCCCCAATTAGGTCCCCAAGGCGACCCAAGAGGCTCCAGATGGCCCCAGAGGGCCCCACGCAGGCCCAAGAGGGCCCCTAGAGGCTCCCAAGGGAGCTCCAAGTGGCTCCCAAGAGGACCCCAGGAGGTCCCAAGGAACGCCGCAAGGCTGCCAAAGCCCTCCAAGACGCTTCACGGCCCAAAAGGTCCACAGGACGGCCCAAGAGGCCCCACGAGAGCCCAACAGGGCCCCTACATGACCCCCAGGACGGCCCGCAGACGCCAATCTCGTAACCTCAGGGCTCCCCAAAGCGAGCGGTGGCGTGAACAAGTTTTAACACCAGGGCTCCCCAGAGCGAGCGGTGAGGTAACAAGCTCTGAGCACCAGGGCTTCCAAGAGCCCGTAGTGACGTGACAAGCTCTGAACACCAGGCCTCTCCAGAGCGAGCGGTGACGTACAAAACTCTGAGCAACAACGCTCCCAAGAGCTCATAGCGGCGTGACAAGCTCTGAGCACCAAGGCTCCCAAGAGCTCATAGTGACGGTCTAAGCTCTGAACACCAAGGCTCCCAAGAGCGAGCGGTGACGTAAACAGGTCTGAACACCAAGGCTCCCAAGAGCCCATAATGATGTAAGGGACTCTGGACACGAAGGCTCCGACGAACGAACGGTGACGAAAAAGGCTCTGACCACCAAGGTTCCCAAGGACTCACACTGACGTGACAAACTCTTTAACATCAAACAGGGCTCGCAAGAGCGATCGGTAACCCAAGAAGCCCTTAGTACGAAGAGTACTCTGGGTCTGTAAGTGCTTGGTACTTAAGCACCAGAACGTACAGGCTAGAGCACTGGTGCAGGCTAGAGCACCAGAACACCAAACAAGGCTCGCAGAGCGAGCGGGACGCAACGAACTCCGAACACCAAGGCTCCCAAGAGCGAACGGTGCCATGAGCCATCTCTGACAAGTTGCTGAAGCGCTCTTTCCGTTCCCATGCGGGCCCAGATTTGACACGCCCATTCCGAGCAGGCACGGTGGCGGATCTTACAGCGAAGACGTTGACATAAGGACTACCTTGGGCTCAGTGGCGCGAGCCGTCGGGCCGTTCCTTACACCCAGGGCCCGATCTGCTTCAAGCGCTTTGCTACTTCAAGGATCGATCTGCTTCTGCTGTGTTTTGATTTTCTCTGGGAGGGCGTGGTCCCAATCTACTCTATCCGCCATCCAGTGAGGGGCGAGACATTTTGCCCCAATGTATTGACCCGATGAGTTGCCCCCAAGTCTGCCTCGGGCGCGTCGCCAAGTTGCCAGAAACGCCCATTCGCTCCTCCTTCAGCGCCCCTCTAACGGTCTGCGACGGCTATCAGCCGCTGGGAGCAACGAGTGGTGGTCCCCAAGCGAGCCCGCCCACGTATCCGATTTCGAGGCCATGGCCTGCACGCCATGCCCTGATGGGCACGGGCAGGTCCTCAGAGGCAGGGTCCAGTTCGATCCGACCGATCCGATTCGATATCGACGTCGACCGTCTCGCTCCGCTTCGAGATCTGTGTCCCAGCGATCGGATGCGGCCCGATGCCTGCATGGCGCTGTTGTGAATCCTGGCGCAGCCGATCCGATTCGATCTCGATCCCGTGCCGATGCAGCCCGATCTCCGATGCACATCTCGATTCGATGCGCTTTGCCGATTCGATGCCGGCCTGTCCTGTCAGAGGTGCGCGCACGACTCCTGCGCTCGCTTCGCTCTTCGCCTCCTTCGGGTCTTGCCAGAAGTGCCCCTGGCCCAAGGTGCCCCCAGGATTTTCCAAGGAGGCCTCACGGCCTCCAGAGCGCCCCTTACGAGTTCCATGGGGCCCCAGGGCTCCGAAGTCGAGCGAGAACCGGGGGGCACCTTGGGCCAGGGGCACCTTTAGCAACCCCCGAGGGGGTGAAGGCAAGTCGGTCAAGATCGGTCCCCGGACCCCTCCCGGGGTCTGCCTGGTGCAGTGTTTTACTCCAGCGCCGTCAGTGCCGGCCCCGGGGCCCGAAGCCAGCCCAGGGAGGTCGAGGAGGTAGCAGAAACCTACCCGGACCCAGAGCCTCGGGCCCCGCCCACCCCCCTTCCGTCGAGTAGGGCATCGACTACGAAAGTGATTGACCCCAAAGTTGTTTCTCTGGTCGAATGTACAAAAAGGCGTATCATGTTCGTAGATCTGCAAGCGCATCATGCGCACTGTTCGTGGGCTCGACGAACAACATCACTTCCGGGTAGATCAATTCCGTAGTCGATCCCCTGCTCTCGATTCCTGCTGCCCAGAGCCGGTGCTGGGCCCGAGCGCGGCGGCCGCACGCACGACGCCCTCCGCTCCTCCCGGCAGGACGTCTCCGTGCGCCTCGCCTCCGGCCGCGCCCTGCGCGGCCGGCTGGCCGTGGTGGCGCTGCCCACGGGCGTGCTGGCCGGCCTCGACGGCAGGAGAGCCCCATTGGGGCGGCCAGGCCGCCCCCCGGCAAAGCGGAAGAGCAGTCACAGTGGGACCGAGGTATGATGGAAGAGGAAAAAAAGATGCATGGACATACGTTGTTGGCGCTCCGCGCGGCTTTCTTGGATCTGCGCTGGAACCCCCCGGCGTCGCCTCTGGCGCCCCTGGCGCGCTCCGCGCGCCATGGAGGGGGTCCAGCGCGGATTCAAGAAGTCCGCGCGGAGCGCCGAAAGTTTATGTGTATGGCGCGTTGTTGTTGTTGTTCTTCTTCTTCTTCTTCTCATCTATGTTTGTATATATATATATATATAGAAGATCGAGGTTGGTTCGAGGAGGGTGCCCCAGTGTTCTTCGTGCTTGTTGGACGTTCTCGTGCATCCCTGGGAGAGGGGGGCCTTGGATGTTCTCTGTGCGTCTTGGCCGACGGAGGGTCTCATGTTCTTGAGGGATGTTCGTCTGGCCGGGGTCCGGCTGTAATTACGTGAGCTGATTCCCAAACTCCGCATTTCCCTGACCCCCCTTCCGTCCGACCCGAAGCCAGCAGCGGGTACGGTGAGTTCGTGTCGTGTCGACGCGGTGGCGAGCCTGGTGCGGGCGCTCAAAGCAGCACACGCCTGCGGCGGTCTGGAACTGGCCGACGTCGAACGATTGCGCCGTCGGAGAGTTGCGATCGCCAGGGGGCGGCCTCACCGACCCCTATCAGTCCATCCCCTTCCGTGACGTCCCCCTCGCCTCATCCCGAGACGTATGTATGCGGCCGGAGGGAAGCCTGAAAGGCGAGGGTGACGTCACGTCAGGGGATGGCTTGCCAGGGGTCGGTTAGGCCGCGCCCGAGATCTCCACCACTGGGTGTTGCCAGAAGTCGCAGAAGACAGAACGGCATCGGCATAAACGTGCAATTCCAGTGCTGAACGGCAGCTGCGCGGACTGTCGAAAGTTTGCGTCGATGCAGTGTTTTTTTTGTCGGGCCACTAGGTGTTGCCGGAATCGGCGGCGCGCCCAGGGGGGAAGATTGGAGGGGGCGGGCCTTCTCAGATGGCTCAGAGGGCCTCCAGCCTTTCGAGAGAAGCTCTCCAGGCCATCGCCGAAGCCACAGGGGGCTTCTCTGGAAGCCGGGAGTGCTTCTGAGAAACCCCGCCGCCCTGTGAGAAGGCCTGCCCCCTCTGGGGGCCCCAAGAGTATACAGTACCACCACCACGTCGATCCCTCCTCCCTCCTCTACCCTTTTCTTCCTCGCCTCTTTCCTGGGAGAGGCAGGGGGTGAGGGAGGTGGTGGTGGTGCATATGTGTGGGCCCCGAACCCTCTCACTTCCCCCCTTCTGCGCGCCGCCGAAGCGTCCCTGGCCCGAAGGTCTGCCCAGGACTGGCGAAGGAGGCCGCACGGCCTCCAGAGCACGCCTCGCGAGGCCCAGGGGGCCCCAGGGGGGCTCCAGCGTGGAGCGAAACACGCTGGGGGCGCCTGGGGCCGGGGGCGCCCGCGGCAACCCCCGACAGGGGGCGAGCGGTCCCCGAGGGAAGTTCGCGGGCCCGGGGCCTGCCAGGCGGAGGCCGGAGCGGCTGGCGTTATGAGGGGCACCCCGCAGCGCTGATGCATCGCGGCTGGGTCCCCCGACCCACCTGCTCGGACCCCACTCGGGGGGCCTACGATGGACGCGCTAACGAGTCAGCTCGAGGCAGTCGCCACGTCTCTGGCTCTCCAGTGTTTTTTCCCTCACGCCTGATGCCCGTCTTGTTGCTGACCAGCTCGTGCGTTCTCGTGGATTGGCGATCTCGCATGGTCTTACCGACTCGATAACCGGCCAGCCCAGAACAGTCACTCAGCCTGTTCGCGCGCTCGAGGTCCCGAGGCTTCTTGCCGCTTTCTGGCTCTCGTGGCCCTCCCCGTGCCCCTGGGCTATCGACAAGTTGGTTCGGGGAAGGCCCCCAGGGGGTCCAGCACCGGCTTCCCGATTGCCTCATGCCAAAAGGAGCGCCGTGGAGTTTGAGCCGCCGCTGCCGGCGGAGAAGCTGGAGTGCATTCCCAGCGCCATCGAGACGGGTACCCATCGGGTCGGATGAAGGGGGGGAGGGATAGGGAAAGGGGGGGCTATGCTATCTGCCGCATGCAGCGGGTCTCGGCCCCGCCGCTGGGCGCAGTCCTCGATACCTTGGCGCCTGTGTCTCCGGGAGGCGCTCGGAACATCGGCTGCGTGAGGTGGTTCCCAAACTCCCCATTTACCTAACCAGATGGGCCCACTTTCCACCACCACTACCATAACTAGACAGGAGAGGGATGAGGAGGAGGAGGAGGAGGAGGCGGAGGACCAGTGTAAAACATCGAGTTTTGGAATTTACCCTCCCTCCAAGCTCCCTCTTCATAGGCACCCACAACGGTTCATTTCCATTGAGGGAACTGCCTCGTTGGAAGACAACCGTTTGAAGATCCTGAAGCATGCCCAAACATTGTTCTCGGGATGTCAACGCCACGTATCAAACTGACTGCTGCGTCTTGACGATCTGGAATCGTGCCAGAGCGCCATTTTTTGGACTTCCACACCGCGGATCAACATAACGGTTGCACCCGCATAATTGTGAATCTTTCCGAAACGCTATTTCTGGTACGATGATCATGGGACCCCGTCAAATTCTGGCACCTTTTCAAAACGAATGCGCGCGGCGCTAAGGCGAGAGCCACAGTTTGAAAACGACCCGCAGTCAATCCGTGAAACTCTTGCAACTGTTTAAAGCGAATGTGCGCGGCGCTTAGGCGAGAGCCACATGTTGAAAATCACTCGCCCTCCATCTGTGGAGCTGTTGCCACTTCTTAAGCTTCGGGGTCATAAACGGTGAGGAGAGCTCGGGCGAAACGCCGGCCCGCCCTCAAAACTGGCCTCGGGGTGCGACAGGGGGGAGTTATGAGGAATGGATGAGGAATGGAGGAGGAGGAGGAGGAGGCAAGTGCGGAGGAGGAGGATGGGAGGAGGAGGAAGTAGGGATGAGGCGGAGTCGGAGGCGGAAGCGGAGGCGGATCGCGAGGAGGAAGTAGGTGCGGATGAGGAGGAGGTATGAGAAGGGAGGAGGAGTAGGAGGAGGGAGGAGGGAGGCGAGAGTGTCGTCTCCTCCTCCGGAGGAGTAGAGGCAGCAGGGTAGGATGGTGTGGGTTGGTGGGAGGAGGAGGAGGAGGAGGAGGAGGCGGAGGAATGAGGAGGAGGAGGATGAGGGAGGATGAGGCGGAGGAGGGACACAAAGAGGGGGTCGCTCGGCGAGGGAGAACAGAGGGGGGAGGGAGAAGAGGGGGGAGAGGGAGGGAGGAAGTGAGTGAGGGGGGAGGGGGTAGGGGGGAGGGGGGAGGGAGAGGGGAGGGGATGGGGAGGGGGAGGGGGAGGGGGCGGATGGGGGTGGGGGGGGGCGAGGGAAAGTTAGGGGGGGAGAAGAGGGGATAGGAGCCCCAGGTCCAGGGGGGGGGGCAGATGGTAAGGATGAGGGAGGACGTAGGAGGAGTATGAGGGGAGGTGGAGCGGAGGAGGTAAGAGTGAGGAGTAGGCAGGGCAGGAGGAGGAGGATAGGATGAGGGAGGAGGCGGAAGGCGGAGGAGCGGGAGGTCGGGGTGTGGTGGGGCGGGTGGCGGAGAGGAGGGAGGAGGAGGAGAGTGAGGAGGAGGAGAGGAGGAACCGGATGCGGACTGGAGGTGAGGAGGCAGGAGGAGTGGGGAGAGGAGGGGAGGTTGAGGAGGGGAGGGAGGGGGGAGGGATGGAGGTGGAGAGGGTATTTGTGAGGAGTAGCGAGCGCATGAGGGGACGCGCCGAGTCGAGATTCGGGACAGAGAGCAGACGATTGGGAAAAGGTGAGGACGCACAATCTCTCACAGAAAGAGTGGGGAACACGTAGGGGCAGGCCCAAACGAATTCCCATGCACACGCCCGACGACGGGCCTGCGCCGCAGAGAGAGGCCAGGATGCAGACCTGGGCACGGGGCCGATCAAATCACCAGACCCCGCGGAAACAACAAGAACAAAACGAGTTGAACCGAATTCATGAGGCTAGCCCAAGCCACTCCACTGCGGGGTCCGAGACCAACATGCGCCGCGGGAGGGGGATGGGGTGTGTGCGGCCCTCGCTGGGGTGCCGCCCCTCCGCAAAGTTATTCCGCCTCCACTTCCTCTGAGGGTTGCCCTCAAAGGCCTTGGGGCCCTCACATTCATTATAAAGCTGGGATCGGTGGGCACGCTCCGAAAAGGATCCGCAGCGCATGCATCCAACCACATCGCCAGCACGGTAGAGCACATGGCCTCGGGAGGCCTGTGGGGGGACCGTCCCCTCCGCAGGGAGCACCGTGCTGGGAGGAGCGGCGTTGGCCCTCGTAGTGGCCGCCGCGAGCCTGGGGCGCTTCTCCGAGCCTATCGGGGTTTCGAGGGCGACCGTGGCTTCCCTAACACGCGTCTGGACAAGCGGTTCAAACTGCACTCTCGGCTTGACCCTACGGGGTGGTCGGATGAACGCCTCAGCCTCCTCGACCTCAGGCCCCCTAGACTTACCCACAATCCTAACCCGAGGGCTCGGGAGGGTAGGAGGAGGAGGAGGAGGAGGAGGGTCGGAGGACGAAGTAGGGGAGGAGGGAGGATCTCCGCGCTGCGCCTTCCTCCCAGGGCCATCCTCGTCCTGATCGCCTCCACGGCCGTCTTGGCTGCCCAAAGGCCTCTTAGGGGCCTGGCGGGGGCCGAGGGGGGGGGGGCTCCGCGGGATCTCCTCGGGGCTGGACTGGGGCTCGGGGGCCTGAGGTTCCGAGGGGCGGTGCACTGTACACACCTCGAGGGCCAGGCGCTTACGTCCAGTTGGCGTCCGCGCGAAGCGCTGACAATGTTTACATCTCCATCCTCCAGCCAGCGTGGGCCTGATGTCATGCAGGCGCTGGCTAGTAGTCAGAACTGGCCGCTGTTGTCCAGGCCGACGGCGTCGCTGAAGTCGCCTGCGTGGCTTGCGCACAGGCGGTGGCTGACGGTCCTGGTTCCCAACCAACGTCATCGAGGACCCAATCCAGCAAGCCACCTGCCTGACAGTGTTGATCATGATCGAGTGGAGCTGAATGGCTTCCGACGGCAACGCGTGCATAGCCAGCCCCCTCTTTGCCGCCACATCTGCATAGTCATTGCCCTTCTTGTCAACGGTAGCATCTCCTTGAGTCTGGTGTGATCGCACGTATGAGATCTCCAGCTGCGAGGACAAACCTCCGTGATCTTGGATGACCTGCCATAGTATTCTCCACAAATCGCAGTTCGGCCTGCGTGGGTGCGTGCACCACTCAGGCCCACATGCGAGGCCTTCCACGGTGCCCAGGCAGTCCGTACGTATGTGTAACGGCAGCATCCCATGGCGTAGCACTTGTAAGACAGCGTATAGTTCAGCACGAGGCACTGATTGCTGTTGTCCTGGGAGAGGTCCATACGCAATCCCACGAAGAGCCTGACCTGTCATCATCGCGATTCCCCAGCCAGCTCTGTTGGCTTCGGGCCAGGCAATGGGGGAGAGTCCAGATCCATCCGTGTAGATATCTCCCGTCAGCATGGTCATGTCCCCTCCGTGGGCGAACTTCCAGGCATCTTCCATGGCTGGTGGCGGTATACCAGGCAGGGCGTCCCTCGGCATCAGGCCTCTGGTGAACAAGAGGTCGTTGTGAGGTGAGGCCCTGGCCGCCTGGATGATGTCAGCGTCCACTGCGGCCTCTCGCTCCTGCTGGAGCAAAGGGCAGGACCATAGACGATGATGTACTGTTCCAGGGCAGTCCATGCAATACTGACACACATTATCCGTGGCATATCCATGTTTGTGTATTCGGGCCTGGGGCCACTGGCCGCCTATGATTGAGTTGCGTAGTGCTGCTCGAGCTTGCTCCGATCAGTGCCATTTCTTGGCTAGCTCCTTCGGCGCGAGCAGCATCTTGAGGGGGCCCATCCAGTATCCACAGGGTCTCCTGAGTGGTGGTTCGTCCTCTGGCGCATGATCGAGCTGGCGACTCCAATCTTCAAACTTCACGTTGACAAAGTCCCGCCTTGCAAGGACCCTGAGCCATTCAGGGCTGTCAGTAGTGAGGTCCAAGGATGTACCTGCGCATGTAGTCCATGCCGTCGCCGTCGTCGCACGCCAGTTGAGAGTATGAAGTGCCACCAGTACTGCTCCAGCAGGGCCAGCCACGTCAGCGTGCTTCGGGGTAGATCCTAGGATCTGGCGCTGCTGCAGGAAAGCCTTCTCCAGCACGTATTTGGGCACCTTGATATCTTGGACGAGCATGGCGCGCGTGTATAGGGGGCCCACGATCGCCATCATCTCAGGGTGTTCAAAGAAACGCGGCTCTAGCTGAGCCGCCAGCCAGACTGATGTGCCTGGAGGTGTACGCCTCCAGCCCACTCGAACCATGCTGACCATTGACTTGATCAGCGTCTTGGTGGCGCCGACGATCTGGATGCCGTACTGCATGGCGGGGGCAATGCATGGCTGGGCCACCGCTCGTCCGATTTTGGCCAGACCACTGAGCCTCTTGAAACGCGGGAGCCTCATCTTCATCTTGCGCACCCTCTTGCGAATCGTTTCGAAGCTCAGTCTGTGTCCGCCTTTGGCCTCCATGCCGAGGACATCCAGAGTCCTGTAAGGCCGAAAACCGTGCCGATGAACCTGCTGCGCCACCTGCTGTGCGATGTCAAAGTCTGAGGCCAGCACTTTCGCCTTGTCCTGCGCAATCGGCAGATCAAGAGCCTTGAGAACTGCTGCGAGCCTCTTCAGAATGCGCACCGTCTGGTGTACAATATCCTGCCTCGAGGCCACCACCTGGATCGTGATGTCATCGGCGTAGATATCCAGCGAATGGTGTACCTCGTCGGTGTTGGCAAAGGATTTCTCGAATACGTCGAAAGGCAGCATCATGACCAACTGCAGTAAGAACATGGCCATCGAGCATCCTGGGAGCACCCCCCCACTGACTTGGCACGAGTAGGAGAAAGAAGTGGTCCACTTGATTCGCCTCGGGGCGTAGTACGTTGCCAGACAAAGCTGCAGGATCTGTGTTGG